AAAGCCCTGGAAGGCTGCGGGCCTTCCCAGCAGCTGAGGTGGGGAGGGCGGCAAGGGGTTCGGGGGAGGGAACACAAAAGGGGGAAGGGATCCCGGCTGCAGCTGTCCCGCGACGGCCCAGGACAAAGGGCCTGCTGGCGGGACGCCCCGGGCCGTTTTCATGCTTGTTGGGATTAAGCGCAGGAAACGTCGCTGGCAATCCTGCGGATCAGCAGTCCAGGGCGCTCGGGCGTGTGGGGCGGGCTCGGCCCCGCCGGGCCCCGGCTTTGTGAGGAGCCCGGGGCCGCAGGGCTCCGAGGAGGCCGCCCCTTTGTCTGCGCCTTTCGGGGGCTGAGCCCCGCCTGGAGACCGCTGAACACCAGCTGAGCGCCGGCCTCGAGCCCTCTCCTTAGCCGGCGCGGAGCACTGCAGCTCCACCTTGCGCTCCGGTATGAGGTCAGGGTCACGGCCTCCCGCCCGGAGCCCCTCGGACTGCTACAGTCCCACAGCCCGAGACCTCTTCCATCCCGGCGGGTGGGCGATGCCGGCCCTCGGGGCCCTAGCCCCTCCTCCAGCCCTGGCCCCCGCCACTGCCCTCAGAAGGGCGCGATTAGAGGACGGTCGGGTTCCGAGCCCAGGGGTTTTAGGAGAGGAGTGGAGCGGGGACAGGAAGCCCTCAGGCGCGGAGAGGAGAAGCGGACACCTTTCTGGCTGTCCCGCGCTGGGGCTGGGAGAATCTCAAGAGGCTGCTGGGGTGTGAAGGCCTCCCCGGGCTAGGTCGTATTTCTGAGAGGGGTGAGGGAGAGGAGTGTGCATCTGTGCGCGTGAGTGTGTGCACGTGCACACATGCATGGGTGTGGTGTCCGGCGCCCCTGTCTGTGGGTGCCTAGGGGGTATGGGCATGTACATGAGTATGGCTTTGACCCTGACTCAGACCCCAGAGCGCCTTCAACTCATGCTTCTCACCACCAGCTTCCATTAAACTCATGAGTCCGAGACTCCAGGCCCTTTAGCAATGATTTTTAACATACAGCTCAATTGCCCAAGGGCATCTCCTACCTCTGATGGCCTCCCCCTCTTCTCCTAGTTGGATAATAACATTTATGGACTACTCCCTATGTGCCAGGCTGAGGTCTAAGTCTCTTTATATGTGCGGACTCTCACATAACCTGATAGGAGAAGTGCCAAGAGTCCCTAAGACATTCGGGTCCAGTCTGCACAGAAAATCATTATCCTCTATTGCCTCAACTTCAGCTCATTCTCTGGGCTCCTATTTCTCCAGGAAGCCTTCCTTGATCAGGTGATCTCATTGCCTCCTCTTCCTATCACCTCTTCAGGCTGTGATTAGAAGACACCAACACTGGGTTTGGGGTGAAGCTTGCAGGAAACATGCTGGTAGACAGGTCAGAGGCTGCCACCAGGGGGCATTCAATCTACACAGAACCCTGATGGTCCAGGCCCCAGGCTGGGGAGCCCACCCCCCACGCCCTGATGCCTTCTTATCCCCCTCTTTACTTTCTTCCTCAGTTCCCAGTTCACACCCTGCATCTCAGACTTTAAACCATCCCCTCTGACCATGCTTGGAACTGACCTATTTGAGGTCTCTGGAGAGAAAGTTTTCCATGGACCCAGCCCCTTCTCCCCCAGGAGGGCCCAGCCCTGCACATTGAGGGCCCTGCTGTGTGCCATGCCCCCGCGGTCTCTGGTTCTCAGCCCCAATCTCATTCCTCATCCTCCTACCAAGCAATTCACCTCAGGCAGCCCCAGAAACCTGAGTTAGACTTCCCCACTCTTAGTCCTAGGACTTCATTCTGGTGGGAAGGGAAAGTGGCTAACTGATCCCCTTGTCCTAACTAATCCCCTGTTTAGCACAGGGACCTTCCCTACTCTCCTTGCTGTCTCAGGGACTAAAAAGTTCCCACCCAGGAACTTTAAAACAACTTCCCAAGTTACCAAGTCTCAGGCAGAGATCTGCACGGGGGGGGGGGGGGGGGTGGGGGGGGGGGCTAGGACCGGTTCCCCCTCTCCTAGGCTCAGAGCGACCTGTGCACTCATCTTTCGGATAGAAATTTCATCTACCAGTGCAGGCCAGACCTGCTCAAGGGCTGGGGCCGGCTCCGCAGGGCCTTGAGTGGAGGGCCTGGATCTGTTTTAATGCATACGATGCATCTTCAGGTCTATGTCCCCATTCACACCGTACAATTACCACAGATAGAGGCAGTCTAGACAGTCCTGGAACAGGTCTGCCCCCCACACAAAGTACAGCTGTAGCCTCAGCCCTTCCCACAATCAGGCTGGATGGCCAGCATGCCTGATGGGAAACAGCAATTCTTGGCTGGGTTGGACCCCACTGGGGTCCTGCCTCAGTTTCCCTGTCCCAAATGGCTGGCCTGGCTGTGGCTCTGACTCCCTGCTCTTGCTCGGCCCCTTCCCTCACCTACCTCCCTTCACCCACCATCACACCAGAGGCCGGGGCCTGTCCCTAGACTCTGGATGACTGGCAGGGGTCCTGTATGCAAACAATTCACCACGTGGGTTCCTTGGTCTGGCTTTCATCTGTTTTGCAGCTCAGAAGGTTATATTAGTCAAGTTTATCTTTAAAAAGTTGTTTTAAAAAGAAAAATTTTATTTTAGATTCAAATTTCTTAAGACATTTGATTTTTTCCTATGAAAAAGTGGAGTGTTTAGAATAATTTAGAAAGCACTATTTAGAATAATATTCATAACTCTCATTAATGTGGTTTACTATGTGCCAGGTATAGCTGTAAGTACTTTGCATATTATATACTCATTTAATCCTTGAGACAACCCTGTGAGGTAGTTACTACTATTGTCTCCATTTGAAGATGAGGAAGTTGAGGTACAGAGAAGTTCATTAACTTGTCCAAGGTCACAGAGCCAGAGAGCAATGGTGCTAACATCCAAATCCAGGGGCCTGGCTTCACCGTCTGTGACCTTAACTGCTGGTGGTGCTCAGGAGAGCCTGCACATTCAGGAAAGGGGACCCCTCTGAAAATCCCCCCTCTGAGGGTTTGATGTTATCTCCTTGTTAGAAATGTCCATGGTCAAAGTTATTCAAATCCAGCTATAGCCCTTTGCTAGAACAACATTTCTTAATAAGTAGAATTTGTCAGAACTGGTTCAACACTGTTCCTGTCCAAATGTCAAATGTAAAGATGACAAGAATTATGAATATCTCGAGTCACTATTTCAGAGAGGTATACTTTGTGAGGTTTAAAATATATATACCTTGTTGGGGGGCACCGTAAAAGAGGACATTAGATTTCTCTAAAATGTCTCAATGTTGCCCTGGCTGGATGGCTCGGTTGGTTAGAGTAGTGTCCCTATAGGCCAAGGTTGCGGGTTCAGTCCCTGGTCAGGGCACATCCAAGAACCAACCAATGTATGAGTGACAACAAATGAATGTTTCTCTCTCACTCTTTCTCCCTTCCCTAAATTAAAAAACTAAAATGTTTCCATTTTCATAAGTAGAATATAATTTTATTTGTGTAATTTTAAAATAATCAGTAAAATATTTGATTTATATAGTCAATCAGAATATGCCTTCTGCGGCAGGCAGCCTCTAAGATGCCCATGATACTCCCTGCCTCCTGGTACTTAGACCCCTGGGTAATATCCTCCCTTTGAGTAACTTACTTCTTTTTTTTAGATTTTATTTATTTCTCTTTAGAGGGGAAGGGAAGGAGAGAGGGAGAGAGAGATCAATGTATGGTTGCCTCTCGTGTGTCCCCTGCTGGGAACTGGCCTGTAACCCAGGCATGTGCCCCGACTGGGAATTGAACCACAATCCTTTGGTTCACAGGCTCGAGCTCAATCCACGGAGCTACACCAGCCAGGGCTGAGCACCTTACTTTTAACCAACAGAGTATCACAACATGGTGGGGATGGCAGTTCTATGACTAGGTTGCAGAAAATCATGTTAGTACTCTAGCACTTTCTTGGCTTGCATGCTTTGATGTACTGAGCTACCATGTCAGAAGGACCCACATGGCAAGAAACTAACTTCCAGCCAACAAACAGCCTTTGAAGAACTGAATGCTCCCAACACATGAGACTGCGGGCCCTGGACTCAGCAGCCTTGACTGTAGCCTTGAGAGAGATTCCTGACCTACAGAAATGGTGAAATGACAAGTGTGTGTTGTTTTAAGTCACTACATTTTAGGGTAATTTTTTTATGTAGAAATAAGCAACTAATATACTTTCTTTGTAAAAGTAATGAATTTTTGAGACACCAATAAATTGTCATACACACTAACATAAAATAGAAGACCTAATTTGATTGGCATCAACAAATACCTGAGGTCATGTACTGCAGTGGTCCAAGCTTTGTTGGCACCAGGGGCCAGTTTTGTGGAAGACAGTTTTCCCTTTTTCCACAAAAGGGGGCGGAGTATGGACCCCAGGCACTAATGAAAAGGATGGGGAACAGCAGGATGAAGCTTCTTTCACTTGCCCACTGCTCACCTCCTGCTGTGCAGGTACCCACCCCCACACCCCACCCCCCACCCCGTTCCTAAGAGGCCACGAACCAGGCCTGGGGGCTGGGGACCCCTCATGAACAGTAATCTAACACCTGTGTCAGAACCATCTAAGGACCCCCAGTCTTTTGCTGTCAGGCTGCCTTTCAGGGAAGCAGCGGCTCTGGAGCAAGGTTGAGAACGTGAGTACACGCCTGTGGAGGGAGGGTCCCTCACAATCAGTGCCCCCCTTTTCAGGCTCAAATGTGCCTTAAGACAAGGACAATCTCAAATGGAGCTCTAGCAGAGGCCGAGCCTCCCCCACCAACCCCATCAATCTGGGAGGCCCCTGAGAAGAGACCTCTCTACCCTACCATCAGATGGTCAGCCAGGCAGGCTGGATTCTTTCTCCCCAGGGTCTTCCGCCCCAACTCCCCACCCCCAGCTCAGAGCCCTGCTCAAAAGAGGTGCTCAGACTATCCAGCAAAGAGGCCACCAGGAGGCCTGTGAGACAGAAACACAAACTCATGCATTTCTGGGCCCCAGTTTATTTATTCATTGTGGTTCACACTCAACATGCAAGAGCTAGACACAAAGTCCTCAGGGTCACTGCTTCAGCCTCCCTCCCCAGTGCATCCACCCACCCATTGTTAGGGATGGAACTCTTTAGGGGCAGTCAGAAAGAGCCCTGGCATTTTGCAGGTTGGAAGACTGAGGGTGGGAGGCAGCACCAGTGACCTCCAGGGAATTGCTTGCCCATCAGGGTCTCGCAACCTTTGGGCTCCCAGAAGCCAAACAGAGAGATTGGCTACGTTAGTCTTTGGCTGTCCCCAGAACTCACCAGCTCTAGTTCTCAGAGCTTCTGCTGGAGCCCGTCGACATTTAAAGGGCCATTCAGTGACGGGAGGGGGTATGACTCAGCATCCTAAGTTTACAGAAGCAGGGCTGACACTGCCCCCTGCCCACCCTTGAAAGCAGGACCCACCCTGGCTCCTCCTGGCACAGACATTCTGATTTCAGGGAAACAAACCAAATTAATTCAACATCCAGTGCTGCTAAAGGCAGAGAGGGGTGTAGAGGCACAGAGAGGGAAGTGAGATTTTACTCAACAGCAAGCTTAGACGCACACATTTCTTTTCATCAGAAGCTTAAATCAACGTGGTCTGCAAGAGCTCCTTTGCGGAGAGGAGACGGTTAGTGGTTTGTTCGGAACTGGTGTTGCAGAATTCCCAAACTCCTGTTCTTCACAAGGTCCTGCCAGCATCGTTTCTCCATCCCCATCTCCCATGTGCCCAGCCGCAGAGTTCAAGTGTCCATCACCACCCTCAGCTCCCCTCCCTGACACTAATTCCCTCGGGTAAATGACAGCAGGCAGCCCTCTTTTCCAGGAAGCAGTGGGACCCTGTGGACAAAAGGCTATGGCAGGCCATGGGTAACACAGGGTGTGGATGGATGCCCCACAGGGGGAATGGAACATATATTTGCACACACATGCTTGGGACTCTGCCTGCAAATACACATGTTCCTATCATACATTTCCCATGCCTGCAGCTGCACACACGCACCCCTGCCTATAGGCTCACTCTCACACCTGCCATAAGCCTGCATGTTCAAACTCACTCCTAGGTGCACACATACCTTTTGCATATACAGCTGACACTTGAACAATGTTTCAGGGTTCCAACCCCTGAAACAGTCAAAGCTCCAGGTATAACTTTTGACTCTCCAAAAACTTAAGTACTAACAGCCTGCAGCTGACTGGAAGTCTTATTGATAATATGAACAGTCAACTAACATTTACTTTGTATGTTATATGTATTACATACTATATTCTTACAATAAAGCTAAAGAAAATGTTCTTAAGAAAATCTTAAGAGAAAATACATCTGCAGAACTGTATATATTTATTGAAAAAAAACCATATATAAGGGGACCAATGCAGTTTCCATCTGTGTTGTTCAAGGGCCAACTATAGCACCTCGCTTATGTACATATGCATATACCACTGAGGCCCCGTTCATGCATGCATGCACAAATTAACTCCATCTTACATGTATGTCATGTACAAGAGGCATGTGTGTAACATATATATACACAGATGGACACACTCAACATGGGCCTGCACATAAGTTAGCCTGTGTGTACACACAGCACACATAAGGTGGTGCATGGGTACTAATTCACACATGCCTGGCACATGTTAGCACATGCATGCTCACTTATGCTTACCTGCACTCATACCAGTTAATAATCATGTACTTGTGTTCAACCACACACATGCCTGCAAATATATACAGATACACCCTTGCACCCCAGTGGAGGCACACTCTTAGCCCTGGTCCTGGGGCCTGGATGGTGCTGCCCTCTGTTGGAAGCAGCGGATGAGCTCCTTTCGGTTGTCTAGGATGGTGTCAAAGCTCTCCTGTAGACGGGCCTGCTGGTCAACCAACTGGTACTGCAGGCCTCGGATCCACTGGAGCAGGGCCAGACGGCGGTACATCACCAAGTGCACATGGTGCTTCTCCTTCTCCTGCTCTTTGTAGCGCTCTTGAGCCTGCAGCTTTTGCACAGCCTGGGCCACTGAGGGCAGAAGGGAATCTGCAGGGCCAGGGCCTTGAGGGGTCCCACAGGCAGGCTCAGGGCTGCTGCTGGGGCTGTCAATGCTTAGGGAGCTGCTGGCATAGCCATTGTCCTCTAGAGGGGAGCAGACTGTGCCTGCACTACCGATTTTCTCATGCTCAGCTCTGGGGATCTCTGCCCCCTCTGGAGGGCTGCGGACCTCTCCTTCGGGGAGTCCAGGGGCCTGGAAGGTCTGGTTGTCAGAGGGCAACTTGGCAGAGCTCCTCATCAGGATGGGCTCCATTTGGTCTGGCATCCCACGCCAGTTCTCATTGGTGTCCTTGGTGCTTGCCATGAAGTTGGAGTTGCTGTCAGGTTGGAACTCAGGCTGACATACTCTAGAAGGTGGGCCCCCCGGGAACTGGCCCCCCAGGAACTGGCCCCCCTCAGCCACTCCCGGCTGGATGGCGAACATCTGGTCTATAAAAGGGAAGCAGAAGGATGAGTCAGAGTGGGACATGGTGGGGTACCCTGACAGAGTTGAGGCAACCTAGCTGCAGGCACGAAGCGACAAGCACCAGCCTGGCTGCTCCTACTCAGCCCCTTTCCTGTACTCTGGTAACATCTCCCTTCCTGGTTTTCCTCTTGCCTCCTCAGTCTCCTGTGCAGGTTTTCCCTCGGCCCTCTGAGGCAGGCTATCTTCTCATTCCATGCACTTGTGTCCAGATGACCTCATCACCCTCTGCTGTAGCTTCAAGGAGCATCATGTGTTGGTGACTCTCAGATATGCCTGCAGCCAGACCCAACAGCTTTCTAACTCTATAGCCAACCACAGGCTCCTCAAGTCCAAACCAGCTCTCCCTCCACGCTGGCCTCCTTGAAATGGCCCACTCTCCACTGTCACCACAGTCAGAAACCTGAGAGACCCCGGGCCGCTCACTCTGCTTCCTTCTCCCATCTCATTGGCCACTGAATCCTGACAATTCTTCCTCTTAAAAACCTCTGCGTGTGTATGAACATACAGGCCATTTCTTACCTGGATTACTGACTGCCACAGCTTGTTCACTCATCTTTCTGCCTCCAGTTACAGATTTAAATTTAATTCATCACAGGTCCCTAACCTGCTGCTAAACCACTCCATGGCCTACAAGCCTGGGCTTCATCTGGCCCCTGCTCATGCCTCCAGACTTGCCTCTTGCCACTCTGCCCCCACTGCCACACCAAACGGCTGAGATCTAGGAGATGGGCACTATCGTCCTCACAGAGCTCCCTCTGCCTACAACTCCTCCCCTTCCCTCCCCTCCCCTCTCCTCCGAGGTCCTTTCTTCTCCACCTATCAAATTCCTTTTTTATACTTCAAAACAGCTTTAATATACCCCACCTCTCCAAAGCCATCCTGATATACTCACTGCCCCAACATACTCAAGCAGTTAACACTGCTTTCTCTGGGCCCACACTGCCCTGGACACACACTGCCTAATTCATGTTTGTTTCTTGTTCCCGGCACATAATTGATGGTCAGTCCATGTCTATCCAATTAAAAAAAAAAAAACAAACCACAACTCTCTTGTAACAACAGCCTATAACTCTGGCTTCCTAACTAGACATGAAACTTCTCTGTATGTCCTCTATCACATTCCCAGGGGCCACCATGGAGCTGGCCACCAGGCGGGTGTCAGTCCACACCTGCTGTGGGGTGAGTGAGTGGGGGAGAGGGAGGAGGCTGCAGTGGGACACCGGGGCTCAGGAAGATCAGGAAGAGCAAGCATGTGGGGGTGGCGGCTACTGCTGACTGCCCAGGGCTGGAAGAGCTGGGTCCCCTTCCTTCCTCTGCCCCGGAGCCCCCCCCACCATAAGTCTGTGGGACCTTACCCTCTTCCCTCCATACTATTATACTATCTTGTGTCCTGCCCCCAGCTGCTCCATCTTGATGCCCTGCATGAATAGTAAAGTCAATACTATTCTTTCCTCCTCAACAACCGGCTTCTACCAAAATTAGGGGTTCAACAGACATGAGGTTTCAACTGATTACACAGTACTAGAATCAGAAAATTCAGGTACCAGTAAGACTGAGGAACGACAGAGGCCCTCCCCACATGCAGTAGTGGGCAGGCCTCCGAGGTGGGTCAGGGATGTCTGCACAGTCCCTTTATAAGCTACAAACTCCCCAGGACGCAAGGTGCCTGGGGACCTTTCCCCTCCAGATGTTTTTTTTCTTTTTCCTAAACTTGGGCAGGGCCATGAAGGCAGCTGGGATGCGGCAGGGGTGGTGGTACGAATCAGGGGGTTCTCAGAGACGGTAAAATGGGAACCCAGACACCCTAGGATCAGGTTTCCCTAGAAGCGAATCCGCAATTTGCCGGGGTTTGGGGGCGGGGAGCATCGGCCTCCCTTCCTGCCCCAGCCTTGCCAGAGAGGGAGACTACCCCGAAGACAGGATAGAGACCAGCCTTCCCCAACCTCCCCATGGGAGGCAGCTGTGCGGAGGCTGCGCTTTCCCTCTCGGCCCCCAAAACCCCCGCGGCCGAGGCTCAAGCCCTCCCCCTACGGCCCGACTCACGGCCTGGACGCGCCCGCCCTGGCGCGGCTTTGGCTCCACCGGCCCACGGCGGAAACTCGGCCCTCCGGGCTGGGTGCGGGGTCTCTCGGCCTGGGAGTCCGCGCGGCCCGGGCGTGGGATGCGCGGCCCCGGAGCCGCTGCCCAGCCCAGGGCACAGACTGCGGAGCCCGGCGGCGTCTGCGCGCGGGGCGTGGCGGCCTGGCCCACGTGGGTTTTCTGCGGAGCGCGCGCCGGACGGCCTTTCTGGGGTCGCCTTCTGGCCTTCGCAGCCTGAACGGAGGCCTTGCAGCTCGGGTGACATTTTCAAAATGAAAATCTGATCATGTCGCCACCTTCCTGCCTAAACTCCTCAATGGCTTCCCCGCCGCGGTGCATCCTTGAGGCGGCAGCCTCAGGGCCCAGAGCACCCTGCCCCTCGCTCTCCCGCTGCCTTGGCGCCCCATCTCTGTAGCCTGGCGCTCCTTTCGGCCACGCTGCTTTTGCACACACAGTTCCCTCTGCCTAACAGCCTCTTCCCCCCTTTATATTATCCCTGGACACTTTCTTCATAGCATGTCACTTTTTTTTTTCTTTATGAGAGGGAAAAACAAGAGAAATATTTATGCTTCTTTTTTGTGTAGAAGAGGTAATTTATTTATTTTTTAGAGGAGGTGGGAAGGAAGGGAGAGAAGGGGAGAAACATCAAGGTGTGGTTGCCTCTTGCGTGCCCCCTACTGGGGACCTGGCCTATAACCCAGGCATGTGCCCTGACGGGGAATCGAACCAGTGAGCTGTTGGTTTGCAGGCCAGCGCACAATCCACTGAACCACACCAGGCAGCCAGGCAGGGCTCGCTGGTTGTTTCTTGTATGTGCCCTGACCAGAGATCAAAACCACAGCACTAGCTTATGGGGATACCAGAGCTCTAACCAACTGAACTACCCAGCCAGGCCGCCATTATGTATTCATTTTGTGTTTATTTATTAAAGTCACTTCGGAAGGCTAGGTTTTTAAGAGAAGAAAGAAAACCTGCTCTGGGACAGGCATGGAGCTACTGCCAGGAGGCTTCCCACAGGGCAGAGAACACCTCGTGGTGCCAGGGCACTGAACTCTTCCGTTTTTACTTGCTGAAGCCTGATGCCCTTGCTCCCTCCCTGGGGGAAACACAGGGTTTGGGGGCCCAATTTGCTCTCAGAAACAACAGAGAGGTTGCTGGCCTTCATGAGGAAACAGAGAAGCACTGCCTGGTATTATATTAAAGCTTCTTAAAATAAGCTACCCAGAAAGACTAGGACAAATTTCGCCTTCAGGGCTCATGAGTTTCCACGAGGTCCCTTCCACGCCCATTCTAATAAAAAAGCTATTCAACTGGTTATGCCTGTCTCACGCACCCCCTGCTTTTCAAAACTAAACTAATATGGATTCATCATTAAATCATAATACATTTTAAAAATAGTTTATGTACTTCTTTTTAGAGCGAGAGGAAAGGAGGGAGAAAGGGAGGGAGAGAAAGAGGGGGGGAGAGATACATGAATCAGTTGCCTCTCACAAGCCCCCAGCTGGGGACCTGACCCACAACCTTTCGGTTTGCAGTTTGGTGTTCAACCCACTGAGCCACACTGGGTAGGATTGAATCATAATACATTTAAAACACCTTGTCTTTCCCTCATCCCTTTCTTTTGCTTTAAAAAAAAAGATTTTATTCATTTATTTTCAAGGAGAGGGGAATGGAGGGAGAAAGGGAGAGAGGGAAACGATTTGAGAAAGAAATGTCACACCTCCAACCAGGGACCTGGCCCAAGACTTAGGACTGTGCCCTGACTGGGAATTGAACCAGCGACCTTTCAGTTCACAAGCCAGCACTCAATCCACTGAGCCACATCGGCCAGGGCTGCTTGCTTTTTTTCTAAGTAAAACTTTGTAAAACATATATATAAGTACTTCTAAATTTTATTGTTGTTCAAGTAGTTTTCTGCTTTTTCCCCTCACCTCTCCCCCTGCTCCGACACCAGCTGTCCCCACCTCCCTCCCCTGGTTCCACCTGCCCTTGGTTTTGTCCATGCGTCCTTTATAGTTGTTCCTGACACCCTTCACCCTTTCCCCTCATTAACCACCCCCCACCATCTCTCCTCTGGTTACTGTCTGTTTGTTCTTCATTTCGGTATCTCTGACTATATTTTGCCTGCTTGTTTGTTTTATTGATTAGGTTCCAGTTAAAGGTGAGATAATATGGTATTTGTCTTTCACCACCTGGCTTATTTCACTCAGCATAGTGCTCTCCGGTTCCATCTAGGCTGTTGTGAAGGGTAGGGGCTCCTTCTTTCTTTCTGTTGCTTTTTGTTTGTTTGTTTGTTTAATGAGGAAGAATTGAGGTCTGTGATCTGCATGCTGGGGCATCCTCTTCCAGTTTCAATTCAATTCCAACTTACCATTCTGCAACCTAGAGACTAAATACAAATTAAATCACACCAACCAATCCTATATACGAAAAGGAGGGAAATGGAAGAGGAAAAATGCCAACTTATGATTATGACAAATCCTGTTTTAAGAGGGAAAAGGAAATAAAGGGAGAAGGCAAAAGTGATTCAAACTTGGGAGGATACTCCCCCAGCTTGGAATATGCAGGTGGAGACCTCAGCCCCAATTCTGTTGTGCATCAGGTCCTAGGCTAAATTACTCTTCCTTTTTCCTTTATCTATTGCAAGTTCCCCATGCCACAGGGTTTTCTTACTTACGAGGTGACCCGAATCCTCACTTCTGAGCTTCTGAGCTCTGAGCTTTGGTGGCCTGGAGTTATGCAGATCTTCCCATGCCATTCAGCCATAATGTCACCTGATTGTTCGGTGGGCCCAGAACAGCTCCTCCCCAACTTTCCTTCAGCTCAGTCTCTCTGCCCCCCACCCTTGCCCAACACCCCCGCCTGCAGTCCGCCCCTGGCTTTAACCACCAGGATTAAACGGGAGCCTGCTGAGTCCAAGGATAAGACTGCCCGCTCCAGGTGAGTCAGAGCTCTTCTCTGGGACTTTCTGAAATAAATGAAAGGAAGACAAAGCAGGGAAGCCGCGAGCCTAGGGCTATAGCAATCACATTTCTTGGCGAGTGGAAGTCAGTTTGCAGCAGGAGAAAATGATCCCAACACACAGAAGCAGAGACAAAAAAGCAGAATCCTGGTGAGGTCCCAGTCCCTGTTTCCTGAGGCCTTTGTAAACCTTCCAAGAAGGCCCTCGTTTTTCCAAGCCTAACTTGCGTGGAATTTCTTTCCCTGACAATCGAAAGAACCATGACTAACAGAGCACCCCTGGGTCCCTCTCATGCACCTCTCAGTCCTCATTCAATAGTAGCAACTCTGCCCTTGATGGCTGCTCTTGGTGCAGCCTACATCGATGCAGTGCACCCGTCCTCGGCTCCCCTGGTTGGAAACATTCTTCCCCCTCCCCCGTGACCTGCAGAAGCTACAGTGTCAGAGCCGTATGAGAAGGCAGCTGGCTGATGTTTCTCTCCCTCTCTCTCTCTCTCTCTCTCTCTCTCTCCAAAAATAAAATAAAATAAAATAAAATAAAATAAAATAAAATAAAATAAAATAAAATAAAATAAAATAACTCCTGGCTGGTGCAGCTCAGTGGATTGAGCGGGGGCCTGTGAACCAGAGTATCGCGGTTCAATTGCCAGTCAGGGCACATGCCTGGGTTGCAGGCCAGTTCCCAGCAGGGGACACACAAGAGGCAACCATACATTGATATTTCTCTCCCCCTCTCCTTCCCTTCCCCTCTAAAGATAAATAAATAAAATCTGCAATAAATAATAAATTAATTAATTAATCATGATACCTGTTCAGTCCAGTGAATTCCAAGGGCATCAGACTGTAGCCTCTCTTGTCTTTTTAATCGTCTGCGCACTTTAAAGAATATGTTTAACACTTTGAGAGAGAAAGAGAAACACAGATGTGAGAGAGAAACATTGACTGGTTACCTTCTGTGCATACCCTGACCTGACCAGGAATCAAACCCACAACCTAGGTATGTGCTCTGACTGGAAATCGAACCTGCTACCTTTTGGTGTACGGGACAATGCTCCAACCGACTGAGCCACCCGGCCAGGGCTAGCCTCAGCCTCTTTTCTTAGTCAAGGGCAATGTTGTACGGGATACTCTAGCACTGAATAATTAATTCAGTAAATACTCAAATAATGATTCCCACCCACTCCATAATATTCAGGGAGCTGGGAACCTGGAGAACAATAAAGCCCAGGAAAGCAGAGGCATCCATGTTTATATGAGCACAGAAAAGCAAATGTATAGATGTCTCTTATTCCTTCGCCAGAAGCATTCTCAGTCAGGGTACCAGGGAATCAGTCACTCCAGGGTGAAGGAGTATCTGTAGCTACTACACTGAAGGGATTTCATTGGCAGGGACACTGAAGTCACTGGAGATGGAACAGGGCTCTGCAGCAGGCCAGCCCACCGTGAAGATCCAGCAGTGGGCAGTGAGCAGATACCCTGCCGAGCAAACGGATGTCAAAGCCAGAGAGGCTGGCAGTGAGTAGCGGACTCTGGGCCCTGGGGGCCTGGGGTGTCGGGCAACTAGACAAGGGAAGATGAAAGGGATTTCTACTCCAGTAAATAGGACAGGCATGAGTTCCTCCATAGACGGATAACTTTTCAATGTCACTGTTCCTGGGAAGAGAGCGGTAGGTACCGTCGAGGTGTTTCAATGCCTGCCCCTTCCCATCCATTCATCCACATCCAGCACAAGGGGGTGGTGTGCTTACTCTGCACCAGGTTGTCTGCTGGGGATTCAAGGCAGAATCAGAACTGGTGGTGACCTTGGGGAGCTCCCTGTGTAAATAGGGAAACAGAAAAAGAGTGGACTGCACAATGTGACGGGCCCTGCAACAGGGCCTAAGGAAAAGTAATGAGCACAAAACAGGGTAGGGAAGGCGGTGCAGAGGTGGTATTTGAGCCCGGCTTTGAAGGCTGAGTACGAGAAGGCAGAAGGCGGAGGAGACTGTGTGTGGTGTGTGTGTTGAGACAATGCAGGCAAGGCCAGTGTGACTGGTACGGGAGGTGGGTAGGCAACAGAGGTAGGAGATGAACCTGAAGGATAAAGTGGGCCCAGAGGTGAGAGGCGCTGACCACCATTCCCAGGAGCTGGGGGTAGCAGGAGAAGAACAGGGGTCCCCTAAATG